AGGCCAGGGCAGATGCTCCCCGCCAAATCTAGCAAAGACCCAGACAAGTCGAATATGGCAGACACAAGGCCCTTGGCTTCAAGCGAACAGCCCCCAGCGTCTTAGCCAACGTGTGCGGCAGCAGAAACCAGCTGGTGCGGCAACGCTCGCACCTCCTCCCAATCCGGGCCGCCACCATAGCAGGGCAGGCCCCATTTTCCCGGCCAAGCCCTTGCCAACGGCATGACATTTTGCATTTGGGGACAAGATGTGGCTGCTGGCAGCTCCCGTTCAGGGCGAGTCTTTTGCCCTGAAGGAACCCAGAGGCTAAGCTGGTCCCTTGGGATGGGACGCTGCCCTGCCAGGTGGTGGGCACCAGGTCCAAGCTGGAGTTCCACACTGACCTCTCTTTAGCTGTGTGACCACAGGTCACGGGTTTCACCTGAAGCCAGAGCAGTCATTCCCTTCCGGCTCGTTGTCGACAGAGGGAAATAAAGTCGTGGCTGCAGCAGCCGCAGCTCCAAGTATGGCTGAGAGTGTCAAAAACAATGAAGTGATGGAGCATCACGTCTCCTAACTCTTGTTTTCATTTTTTCCCCCTTTGGATCCCCACAGCATCCCTGCAGCTACGTCTTAGGCCGCTACAAGTGGACAAAAGCATTTATGGGGAGGTTCCTCCTCAGATTACGGCTACGGCTGAAACCTCCTTGCAAATCTGCTGCCAGGTGCAGTCCCACGAGCACAGTGCACGGAGCTGTCTTCTCACAGGCGGCAAGGTGGGAGCCCTCTCTGCAAACACCTGTCTCTCGTCTCCCTGGGAGATGTCAAGAGACTGGTGAGACATTGAATTATCCTCTTGTGGGGGACCAGGGAGGACCAGGCAGCCCCTTCCCAGACAGGGGGAGGCAGGGGCTCCTGCCTCAAAACCGTTCCCCACGCTGGCCTGTCATCTGCTGAAATTGCCCCATTAGTGGGACCCCTTTAAATCAGGCAACGTGCACCCCTTCCTGTCACCTCCAGCGATTGCTAGGGTCTTACCTGCCTCCATCAGGTTTCCTCAGGGAGCGTGGGTGCAATAACTCCAGGTCTTGCCATTTTCACAGATCGTTTCTTACCCATTTTCTGGGTATTTCATTTCGTTGTTGTGTGTGGTACCTCCAGACCCCAGATGGTAAGTTTTAATCTCCAGACACCTCCTACCATTGCCAAGATGGATCCTGAACTCAGCACGGCCTGAGCATCTGGTCCAAAGCTGCTTGCCCAAGAAAATGTTTTCCTTTTCCTTCTTTTTCTTTCCTTAAAAACACCACCGCCAGAGCCAGTCCATCTGCAGAGATGCCTTCCTGGGAGATCAGATGATGGCATCCTGGACCTTATTAGGAAGCTCAGGGTAAACGTTAAGTGGAGGGCGTGGGGCGTGTCACTGTCTGGCTCCAAATGAGTGTGGGCTGCAGGCTCTGGGCTCAGCTCCTGCTTCTGCCACCAAGGAGCAGCATGGCCACCAGCCTGTTGCTCTCTGGGCCTCAGTTTCCCCATCTGTAAAACTGAAGCTGACTAGCTCACCGCGTGATTTGTTTACACACACACACACACACGGACACACACACACACACACACACACTCCCACACTCCCAATTCTCTATTTTCAAAATGAGTTCATTATGTGCTCCCAATGCTATGAGAAGCACAGCAAGCTGGACCCCTCAAGCTAGCTATGACCTTCAGGACTTTAATTAAACCCCTCTCACTCAGCTGTGCATGACATGGAGCCACGGTTTTTCTGTCAGTACGAGGCAGGGGGCCGGGGGCAGGGGACGCTGGACTAGATGATGCCTAGTTTTCTTTTAACTTGGATATTCTGTGATTCCAAGAACCATACCATTCTTTCTCTCTCTCCCTCTTTCAATAGAAATTAACAGCTCACAGGAGGTTTGTCAGATCCTCCTGAGTCAGAGAAGAGGGTGTTAAGTGATGGTCCTAGGATGGGGGCGGAGGATGTGATAAGAGGAAAGCTCAGGAAAGGAGGGAGAGAAGCCATCTCCCAGAGCAGGAGCTGGGACCACAGAACCTCATGCAGGAAACCAGGAGTCAGGGCTTCTTGGGGGAAAGAAGGAGGGGGGATGAGACCCCGAGGCCCAGTGAGATGGGCACGGACTTGCCTTCTCTGAGGTGGTCCCACACTCCATGTCTTTGCTCATGCAGTTCCCCTGCTTCTGCTTCTCCCCACTCATCATTCAAGGCCTGACATAGTGCTGTTTCCTGTAGCCCAGGGTTGGCACACTTTTAATGTAAAGGGCCAGTAATAAGCATTTTTGGCTCTGAGGGCTATGTGATCACCACAGCTCTTCAACTTTGTCCTTGTCACTCAAGAGCAGCCAGAGACAACCTGTGAGCAAGGGGCGTGACTCTATTCCTAAAGAATTTATTTGAATTTCAGGTACTTTTCACCTGTCACAAAATGTTATTCTTCCTTTGATTTTTTTTTATCATTAAAAAATGTAGAAACCATTCTTAACTTGTGGATGTACAAACGCAGGCAAGGGTCCACAGTCTGCCAGCTCCCGCCCTGGCCTCTTGCTACGCAGAGTGCAGTCCACGGACCAGCAGCAGCAGCTTCACGTGGCAGCTTGCCGGAAACGCAGAAGCTCAGGGGCGCACCCCGAGCGACTGATTCAAAGTCTGCATTTTAGCAAAATCTCTGGATCACCCCTGTGCACTTTAAAGTTTAAAAAATACTGATGCCTGCGTGTCACCCGGGGGGTCTAATGTAATAAGTGTGGATGCAGCCTGAACACTGAGATTTCGTAAAGCTCCCCAGCTGATTTTGTTGTGCCCCAGGAAGATCCCTAGGGAGAGAGGGCAGCCCCTCCACCTGTCTCCAAAAGCTCTCTGGTCACTCGTCCACGACAAAGCATGTCACTCTATATGCATGTCACGCTCTGAGCTCCTCTGGGACCAGGACCCTGTGTAAGCCTAATTCACGGAAGAGCTCTGACACACTGCTCACCCTCTTGGGAGTCAGTCTCCTCCTAAGGGTGGATGAGATGGGCTCTGAGTGTTTTTGTAGCAGTAAAGACACTCTCCCCGGGGGAATTCCTTGGTGGTCCAGTGGTTAGGACCCAGCACTTTCACTGCCGAGGGCCTGGGTTCAATCCCTGGTCAGGGAACTAAGATCCCATAGGAAGTCACCGGGCGTGGAAAAAAAAAAAAAAAGACGCTGTCCCCTGACCCCAGGTGAATAGTAGGGAAGGTGCCTCACCTCCTGGACTCTCTCCAACCCCGAACTTCTTCCCTGCTGTGGGCTCAGTGTTCTCAGGCCAGCACAGACTTGGGGCTTCCCGAGGACTCTGGGGGCAGGGGGACAGAGAGAGGCAATCCCACCCAACTCAGTCACATTCAGCAGGCCCCACTGAGCCCCAGGGATGCCAAACAATCCCCTCTTCCCGAGACTCTCCTCCCTCCCACTGAGTCCCACAGCCCTGGGCCCACCTCTTCCTCTGCCTTCCGTGGTCACCTGACCCAGTATTCCCTGGAGAAACGTGTGAGGGAGGGGTGCACAACATTGGCTCAGGGCCCCGCACCTCACAGGGGCAGCTCTGACTCTCTCCTCCCTTCAAGGCCCCTACAACATGGCAGCCTCCCACCCCCCGGAGTCCCCAACCCAACACGTCCGCAGCCCTAGGCTTGCAAATCCTGGAAGGGGCCCCAAGAAAGCATCCCTCTTTATACATATGGGAAAACCAGGGCCCAGGGAAGGAAAGACCTGCCCAGGATGGTGCAGAACAGGGACTATGTCCCCTCCCCCTCCTCCTAGGCCTCCCCCTCCTCTCAGAGGGCTCCTGCACCCGCTGCCCCAGGAGGGAAGGAGGAACAGAGCTCTGGGGTTTGTGGAAGGTGGAAAGCCAGAGAGAGGGGCCTGCTGGGACCAACTCCGTGCCAAGGGGATTGCCTTTGACTAAGACCAGTGTGACAGTGCCCTGTGGCCACCGCTCCCCCATCTGCATACCAGCCCAGCCCTGTGGAGGCCAGAGTGGGAAGCTGTGCCCCTCACCCCTCTCCCAGCACACAGTAATGGAAACACCTGCCGTTTACTGAGTAGCTACTAAGCGCCAGGCGCTGTGCTAAGCACTGTGATTCCCTGAAGTAATTCTTCCATTTAATAACTGATCAGAATGAGGATCAGAGAGGTTAGCAACAGGCCTAAGGTCACACAGCACGTAAGGGAGTGGTAAGGGAGGGATGGTAGAGAACAGTGTTTAAGCTAGAAGGCATCTCGGAGATCACCTCCCCATTCCTTGGAATTCAAATCTAGGCCTGTCTGTGTCTGTTCCCCGGGGGCTCGCAGACTAGGCTGGCAGCGGGCCACCCGGAGCGGGCTCAGGTTTGTGCATTCAGCTGATACCTCAGAAGTGCTGGTTCTAGGAGAAAGGATGAGCTGGAAGACAGGCAGGTCCACCCCGAGGAAGCTCACCCCCTCTCCTGGTCTGCAGACCCTCCCCTCATGGCCCAAGCACACGTCTCTGTCCCAAGACCTCCTCACATCAAAGAGAATGAATGTGCTTTGGGGGTCATCAGACCTGGGACTGAATCCCTGCTCTGTGTGCCCTGGGGCCTCAGTTTCTTCTTGTCTAAAGGGGGGGGGCGGGGAGCGGCCTACCTAGCTAGCAGGGTTGCTGGAAGGAATGGAAAGAAGTTGTGAAAAGGGCCTTGCACAGGTGATTAAGAAATGATAACCTCATTGCTTGGTGTTCCCAGTTCTGTGAATTCTTCCTCTCCTGGGAGTAAGCTTTTCCTCAGAAGGAAACAGGACGCACAGAGCCTCCTGGATTGTGGCAAAGCTCCCTGGGCTGAACCTATGTGTGAGCCCTTCTTTAACTAGCCCTCAGCTAAAAATAAACCCTCTGGGCTGCACACCTACCTCCCGGGAGGGGCTGAGCCACATCTGGGAGTGTGGGGGGGAGGTGTGCAGCGGGGGACAGGGTGGAGAGCGGCCAGCCTGTGACAGAACCTACAACACAGGCGGGCGCAGAGAGCAGCAGGCTTTATTGAAGGAGATACAGAACTGGGCGAGGGCGCCTGCCGTCAGCCAGACCACAGCCCTCATCACCCCACACTGTCAGTGATCCCTGGACGCCCCTGCCCCCGCCCCCGGCCCCTGGACAGCCGGAAACACAAAGGGATCTTACCCGGCCTCATCAGAGGTGTCCAAGGGGACCTTCAGAGTTCTGTTCAGGAGAGGGCTGGGGGACAAAGGACAGCCCCTCCCGGGCAGTCACTGGCAGGCCTGTCACACCCGTCCATCCATCTATCCACCAGCCCAGTCCGTCTGTGCGCAGGTCGTCCCTCGTCACTTGCAGCTCTGGAGCCGGGTCCTGTGGTGCTTCTCCTCGGTCAGCAGGGGGATGAAGGTGTCGCTGCGGGAGATCTTCAGCTGGCTGCTCCAGCTCAGCCCCTCCTTCCCGGCGGGCTCTGGCGGGAGGTTGTCCAGGTCGCCGCGGGAGCCCCCTGTCTTGCCCTCGCCCACACTGTTGGAGTTGAGCTCCATCAACTCCAGCTCGTGCTTGGCTGCCGTTTCCAGGACTCGCTGCTTGTTGTAGTATCTGACAAAGTTGTTGATGATGGGGTGGATGGGCAGGGCAATGGCAATGACCCCACACAGGAAGCTGATGGCTGCATTGAGCTTGCCCAGGGTGGTCTTGGGGTAGATGTCACCATAGCCAACCGTGGTCATGGTGATGATGGCCCACCAGAAGGACTGCGGGATGCTCTTAAACAAGGTCTCCGGGTGGCTCTGCTCCATGGTGTAGCCCAGGGCCGAGAAGACGAAGATGCCCACGGCCAGGTACATGAGCAGCAGCCCCAGTTCCTTGAAGCTGCGCTTGAGGGCGTAGGTGAGGGTCTGCAGCCCCGAGGAGTGGCGCGCCAGCTTGAAGATGCGGGCGATGCGCATGATCCGCAGGGCCTGCACGGCCTGCTGCACGTTGGTCAGCTCCATCATGCGGGCGCCCAGGTGCGTGAGCGTGAGGCTCACGTAGAAGGGGAGGATGGCCAGCACGTCCACGATGTTCATGAAGGACAGGGCGAAGTGCAGCTTGTTAGGCGAGGATAACAGGCGCAGCAGGTACTCCAGCGTGAACCAGCCGATGCACGCCGTCTCCACGTTCTCCAGCGTCGGGTGCTCCACGCGGTTGCCCTCGGCGTCCAGCACCTGCAGCTCGGGGATGGTGCCCATGCACATGACCACCGACGAGACGAGGATGAGCAGGAATGACAGCACGGCCACCACCCGCGCCGGACACGAAGACTCGGGCTTCTCCAGGAACTTCCAGACGCACTTCTGGCAGCGCTGCCAGCGGCCCTCGGCCGCGTCCACGCCCAGGTCGTCCAGAATGAGCTGCACGCGGCGCGCGATCTCCTCCAGCTCCTCGCGCTTCTCGCTCAGGTGGCTCTTGCAGCAGTCGTCCAGGAACTTGAGGTCCACCTTCCAGAAGTCCATCTCGTTCTTGAAGCAGATGGGGCAGATGCCCTTCTTCATGTGGACCTCCCCGAAATAGTACACCTCGATGACACATTTGAACGCGTCCGGGTCCCTGTCGAAGTAGAACTCGCGCTTCCCGGGGTCGTAGTCGTCGCACAGGGAGAAGATGGTATCGTAGCCCCCGGCCAAGCAGTCGATGAGCTCCGCTAGCCGGGTCTCGGGGTACCGGCTGAGGAGGTCTCCGTACAGCACCCGCCGCACGCCTCCCACGTTGACGACGATCTCCATGTCGTCTCCCGCCCGGGAGCCCCGGCTGCCCGGCTCCGGGAGGCTGCGCTCCCCGGCCCCGTCCATTCTCCCGGCGAGTGCCCGCGCGGCCTCGGCTCCGCGCCCTGCCGCCGCCGCGGGGTCCGGCGGGTCCCGCCGCTGCGCGGCCCTCGAGGAAGCCCGGCAGGCGCCCGCCTGCCTGGAAGCGCGGTCACAGCGGGCGGCAGCGGGCTGGGGCGCGCCGCGGGGGAGGCAGGCGCCTGGCGGCGGGGCTCCGGGAGGGCATCCGGGCGCTGGGGCGCGCCGGCGGGGGGCTCTCGCGGCCACCGGCCTCGCCCCGAGCGCTCACCCCGGCTCCCGGGTGCCGCGATCCGCCGCTTCGGCTCGGTCTCCGGCGGGAGTGGGGTCCCCTCGTGGGCAGCAGGCACCGTCCTCCGTCCCCGGGCGCGCGGATCCCCGCGTGCGACCCCGGCGCGAGACGTGCCACGCGGCCGCCGGCCCCACGCAGCCCGCCGAGGTGTGCGGAGAGCAACTTGGGCTTGCTGTGCCCGAGCCGGTTCCAAACACAATAGGAATTCCAGCCTGACGTCAGGAGCTTTTCAAACTGTACCCTCTTCTGGTGAAATTCTGCAAGGCACGCGCGGCAGCTGCAGGGGAACGGGTTAACCCTTGGGCAGACGGGCACAGCTGCGCGCCGGCCACCGCCGCTGCCGCGCGACTGCCCGCCCCTCCCGGCGCCGCAGGTCACCCACGGGCCCGGGACCCCCGGGCTTGGAAGCGGCAGGCCGGCCGACGCTGGCTGGAAAGTTTCTCTCTCCCTGCTGTGTCCAGAAGATCGATGGTGAGTGAACACGGCCGCCTGTTGCTCCGCCGGAAAGCGTGCCCAAGAAAGCCCTTCAGACGCGGCTCCCGCGTCCGGGCCGGCCGATCCTGCCTGGTCCCGGCAGGTTCCCTAACTCCCGCTAACGCCGCCCTACCGTGGGCGGCACTTTGGCCTCCACCCGAGCACTGTCCGACCGGGACAGCCAGTCCAGCCCCGGGTGGCAGAGAAGGGACTGCCCAAGGTCACACCGTGCAATGGGAGTAGAGCCCGGCGTGGCCTCCTCTTCATCCAGAGCTTCCCGCCGTCCTGGCCGATTGACACGCGCCGGTTAGCGGATTGAAATTCTGCCTTGAAGTCCTCGGGGTCCGCCGCTTCCCATTTCTCTGCAGACAAGCACCACCACCACCGGCCTCCAGAGCCTTGAGCCCCCAAGCTCCCACCTCCCCAGCCCACCGCTCTGCCCTTCCCACACAATGTTCCACACCCTCCCCTGTCTCCCAGACTTGCAGCCACTGCCTGAGCCACTGCAACAGCTCCGAGCAGCATCTTCTACACTGCGAACTACTGAGCATCATCTGTGACCCGGGGACTGTGTTTTAAAAAATACTCTAGAGAGAGGCATGACGAGGCAGAGCACAGAGGATTTTTAGGGCAGTGAAACTACTCTGTATGACGCTCTAATGGTGGACACCTGTCATCACACATTCGTCCGAACCCGTGGAATGTACAACACCAAGAGTGAACACCGGCGTAAACTATGGGTTCTGGATGATAATGATGTGCCAGTGGAGGTTCAATGATTGTAATGGAGGTATCTCTGGGGGGGGGGGGCTGAAGGATTGGGGGGCACGGGCGGGAGTATTTGGGAACTCTCTGTACTCACTGTTCACTTTGGCTATGAACCTAAAACCGCTCTATGCCACAACTAAGAAGTCCGCATGCCACAACTAAAAACCGATCCCGCCTGCTGCAACTGAAGATCTCGCACGCCGCAACGAAGACCCTGCATGCTGCAACTAAGACCCACCCCCCAAAAGAAAAGAAAAAAATACATATGTTCTATAGGCTGGGTCACTGACAGTACTCTTTTTTTTTTTTTTTTCTTTAATGAGATCGTATAAAACTGAATATGTTAGAGTCCATCACATGAAGATAGTTTGGAGAAACTTCTTTTCACAGATTTTATTTTGTTTCCATTTAAAATCAAGCTCTGATGTGTTACTACAGAATAAGAAATTGAGATCCAGAAAGGTTGAGTAAAAATAACAGCTATTATAAGTGCACCACGAGCTGAGCACTTTCTGAGCGTGTGCACTTTTCTCATTTCATCTTCACAATGCCTCTCTGAGGAAGGAAGATGTCAGGTAACCTACCAAGATCACTCAGCCAGCAGATGGCAAAGCTGGGGTCGGAACCCTGAGAGCCTGCTGTCCCAGCCTACACGCTTCGCCTCCCCTGTCCTGGGCACATAGCTGAAGAGGTGGAGCTGGGATTTGACCCCAGGCCAATTCTTCTGTCTGATATAGTGCAGCATGCGACCCGCTGCACACACCCCATATCCATCTTCCAGGCCTTACTCACATTTCTTCCCTTCTTAGCTGTCTTCAGTTGCTCCCTAGTATTTCCAGGGTCAAATTCAAATTGCATCTTAGTCTAAGCTTAATGAGCAATAGTTGGTTGGTTGTGCGGTCGATTTACTGAGTACTGACCAGCATTTTTATTGAGGTAGTATAGAACAGAAAACATCAGAGTACGTCAGACATGGTAAACATAAGTATGGCTTAAATCTCTTCCAGCACGCCGTCCATTCAGCAAATCCCAGACTGCTGCAGGGAAGAAAGCTAGTCATGAGCGACAGTGGGAAAGGAGGGGGATGCAGATGCAAAATACAGCAGAGAAAATGTCCCCCAGTAGCCCAGAACGGAGCACGAGCCTGCTGACGACCGGGGCATGAGAGAGAAACAGCTGTAAATCACGGATCAAGGCAAGTTGGAGGGCTGGTAACCAAAACAAGGCAGGGAGGAAGGCTCCTGCTGGAGACAAGAGACCAGGCTGAAGCCGGAAGGCAGAGGAGAAGGTGGGAGTGTAAACTCCTGCTCCGTGGGGAGCCACCCAGCATCACTGAGTGAGGGGAGCTGGCCGGCACTCACTTGCCCCTCCAAACCTGCGTGCTCTATGCCCCAGACTCCTAGACTCCTTCTCAAAGCCTTGAAAGCCTCAGAACTTTGGCGACTGCCATGCCTGAGCCCCAGATGCCCTTCCCCTTCATCCCACCAAGCCTCCCTCATCCTCCTGGGCCGCCTCCACTCACCTGGCCAGAGCAACACTTACAGGTCAGGTCTGGGGCTCCTCTTCAGCCAGTACTCTCCCCAGGCCCCTACTGCCTTCTCTGTATGGACTGAATCATGTACCTCCAAAAGTCATATGTTGAAGCCATAACCCCCAACGTGACTGTATTTGGAGACTGGGAATTTAAGGAGATAATTAAGGTTAAAACAAGTGAGGGCCTAATCTAATAGGATCAGTGGCCTTATAAGAAGAGACACGAGAGATTTCTATCTCTCTCTGCACATACTCACAGAGGAAAGGCCACGTGAAGACATAGCAAGAAGGTGGCCATCTACGATCCAGGATCTGGTGATCCTGCCTCACCAGAAACTCTAGTAGGAATTTGACCTTGGACTTCCAGCTGCCAGGAGTATTTTGTTATGGCAGCCTGAGCAGACTAATACATCCCCCTTCTTCCCTCACACCTGCCAAGTCTTCCCTAGACCTCCCCCTCCTCAAGGCTCTGGATACAGCCCTTCATCATCTGAACCCTAGACCCTGTCTGAATTTTGTGACGGCTCAGACTGAGATACCATAGGTTTAAAAAAATCTAGTTGTGCCTTTTCATTGAAGGTCACTGATGCATCGAGATTTGAGCCAGGAGCCATTGAGAATTTCCTGAAGGGTTAAACCAGGGGGCAAAAGTCTGGAGTTTTGGCTAAAGATGGAAAGTTTCTCGCTGTGCTTTATTCGGTCTCGCATAGGACTCCTATTAGAACTGTACATTTTGTGACATCATGGGGGGCTGGGGGAGCACAAAACCTTCTGTTAGACACGAGATGAAGCAGCAATTTGATTCACGTGGGTTTTTCATCTAAACAGGGAAGGGAAAAAAACACAGAATCTATTTAGGCATTATGGGAAGTAATTGTTTGAGTTGTATTTTTCTTTATTAAATAAATATTTTTTTATTTGTTCATCAATAACATTTCAGGCTATGGAATGCTTAATTTCCATGGCGCTAATTAAAACCAGCACATGTGCATCTAAGTGATTTGTCTAGACACCGAAAGAGGCACGCTGCAATTTATTACCTTTTAATGGAATAATCACTTCTGTTCAGTTAAAATTTCTTTGTGTTTTGCTGAATTTAATAACGCCTTTCATTAAGATTCAGTTCTGTACTCCATCAAAAATTTACATTTCATTATTGCTGTGCACCCGGCTGAGGAGCTGATTGACCAGAAGGTTCAGCTCTCCTCCTCCTGCCTGAATAAACTGTACCTGGAAGGCAAGTGCAGGAGGCCAGCGGGGTGGGAGGAGGTGCTGGATGGAGAATGGGGTAGAGAAGAGAATGATGAAAAATAGATTCATCAGGAAATTTTTTTCTTTTGCCCCAGCTCCTGAGCTTCTTTTTTTCTTTTCTATGCCTCAGTTTTTCCACCTGCAAAATGGAATTACTGACCTTTCCTTCCTGAGTACAAGATCTTATGAGGAACAAATAAAATAATGGGGATGAATAGGCTTTACGGACTATAAGATGCTGAAAATGTGAACGAGGAAGGAGGGAAGGAGCAAGCAAGGGGAGTTTGACTTCCTGGGTCCAGTCCTGCTGTGGGCATGTCCCTTTGGGTCTGAACACCCCTGCCCCATCCCCCGCCTCTCTTCAGCTGTGACTTATCCAGCTCAGGTCGTGGGTGGGAAGACTGCGTATGTGACAGAGCCGCTGCATGTCCCGGCTGTGTAGAAAGATGTCAAAGACTTTGGATGCACGATGCTGCCCTGGAGGCTGGGATAGGACCACCTCTGGGCCTGAGATGAAGTTGCTTTGACTTTCTTAGGGAAAGAAAAATGCAGTGAGAGCACAAAGGGGGACTCTCGGGCTTCAGGCCTCGCTGTGTGCAGTGGAACAGTCACAGGGGGTGGGGGTGGGGGTGGGGGGGATGCTGTCTGCTTTTGCGCTTGCTTTTTAAAAGGAGTGTAAAAGGAGAAGAAAATTCTTTTAAAAACAAGTCCTTTAGCATTTTCCTTTTCTTTAACTGCAAACTTAATATATATTCATTGTAAAAATTCAAAAAATGTGAAAGCCTCATATTTGCACACCAAACTTCCCTATTTCCCAAAAGCCAGTGCTGTACATAGTGTATATGTTCTGCTGCTGTGTAACGGAGTACCACAAATTCAGCAAACATTTGTTATCTCACAGTTTCCATGAGTCAGGAATCTGGCCAAGGCTTAGCTGGGTCCTCTGCTCAAGATCTCACAAGGCTGCAGTTAAAGTGTTGGCTGGGGCTGTGTCTCATCTGAGGTTCAGGACCCTCTTCCCTGCTCATGTGGCAGAATTAATGTTTTTGCAACTATAGAACTCATGGAGGTTTAATCTTCTTTGGGGCCAGCATTAGAGCCTCTCTGATCTCAGTGAAGGCCTAAGTCTTCTTTTAAGAGGCCTATCTGAATAGGCCAGACCAGCCCGGAAGAATCTTCCCTTTCATTAACTTAAACATACACTCTTATATTACTATTTAAATTAGCACCCCCTAAATGAAAAACTTAGGTATAAATTTGACAAATATTTGTACAAGCTCTATATGAGGACAACTATAAAGTTCTGATGAAAGAGATCAAAGAAGAACTAAGTAATTGCAAAGGTAGTTCATGTTCATGGATAGGAAGACTCATTTTGTCAAGATGTGAGCTCTTCCTAACTTGGTCTATAAATCAGTGCAATCCCAGTCAAAATCCCAGCAAGTGGCCTGAACAGACACCTCACTGAAGAAGATATACAGATGGCAAGTAAATACATGAAAAGATGTTCCACATCCCAGGTCATTAGAGACTTGTGAATTAAAACCACAGTGAAATACCGCTACACACCTAGAAGACGACCGAAATCCAAAACACCGACACCACCAAACGCTGACAAGGATGTGGGGCAATATTCGTTGCTGGTGGGAATGCAAAACGGTGCAGACACTTTGGAAGACAGTTTGTCACTTTCTCACAAAACTGCTTCTTGGGTCTTCCCTGGTGGCACAGGTTAAGAATCCGCCTGCCAGTGCAGGGGACACGGGTTCGAGCCCTGGTCCGGGAAGATCCCACATGCCGCGGAGCAACTAAGCCCGTGAGCCACAACTGCTGAGCCTGCGCTCTAGAGCCCGCGAGACA